CCATGGTTTAAATTTCTTCTAAAAATGATATCAAAGAGGCTTTCTCTTCAAAACGGGACACCTAATCTTTTTTCCTTCATATTCCTTCCTCCAACTCATATGGTTAATGAGAAGCTGTTCCCGGATTTAACGTGGTAGTGATACCACAACACACCTGCTATTAGGAACTGTAACAATACAACACGGACGTGATGGTGTTCCAGGACATACCTTTGTACAGTATTTTTGTACTGAAAAGGCCCTTACTGGCAGAGGCGTATGCGTGTGTTTTTAAGAATGACTATTGGCTTGCTGCCCCTTGTGTTTGTTGTGCCGACATGCCTGTCAGTGGTGCAACCCTCTTTACACAAACCTCCCATCGGACGAGTCACGGTTGCTGGATCATGGCTCTTCAGATCTGAATGTGCCCCTGGGGCGGTCTTGGGGTGGAGGAACAGAACCTTCTTGGGCCACGATGAACTACAGTGTTTACTAAATTAAATTTAAAAATAGCAGTTGATTTAGAAATGTCCTTTTAAACAACTAGTGGTGTAATAGTGTCATACTATGAAAAGAATACTGTGAACTTAAATGTTCATCTCTGGTGAGATGAACATCCTCATTTCTTGCTTTTACCGGTAACAAATATTACTTCAAAGGTTTCTCATAAATGAGAATTAATGCTCTCTTCTTGTTCTGGGAGCAAGCAAGTTCTTAAACATTAATGAGTGGAGCTGTTCACTTTGGCCTTAAAACAGCACTAAAAGCACATGCAACCTACTAGTCACCTTCTTCTACGTAGTGATTTATAAAAAATTACATAGTTCGTTATTTCCAGAATTGCAGATGTAGCTGACATGCAAGAAGACATCAAGTAGCTGTATATAACAACAACAACAACAACAACAACAAGTGCATATTGTAATTAATATTGCTGACATGATTTATTGAAGTTCTGGGACTAAATTTCACCTTAGATTAAATCTTCTAGAAAAAATGAAATCATTACAGAGATTAATTTGTCCTCTGATTTTCTAAATCATTACAAGGACACCAGGAATTAAGCGGAGTTTATAAATTTCTGAGGGGAATGTTTACTTGTAGAAAAATGAGAACAACTACAGGGCCAGGGTGAACACTAATAATATAGTAATAAACAGCACATACAAGTGAAGTTTTCTTACAAAATATAAATGGAGAATTTTTTTCTTGGACTGCTACAAGCATCTGTATTTCAAGTTTTCTTTCCTTTAAAAAGGCAGTAAAAATAAGCCTGATTTCTTTCAACAGACAATAAAAAGGAAACAACTGTATCATGATACTTTATATGTTGCCAGAGATTAGCCCTTAAACCATTTCCACACATCAAATCCACCAATCAGTCAACCAACCAGTCACCAGGCACACATGACTCTGTGTGTAAACTTAAAAAAAAACCCCTGTTTGAAATCCCTTGCCCTCGATATCTCCTTTAAACCTTTTGTATCTTCAATCTAACCTCACCAGCCCGGGAGGATGCAACAGACTTGCCCCATTTTGACACACTGCCCCGTGGAGTTTGCACCCTAGGTTGCAATTTAAGCAAGGACAGCCGATGCTCCCCCTCCTTGAGGTGCCGTGCTGACCTTGACTGGAGGTTCTGAAACCCAATGGGGATCACTGGTGGGACTACCCAAATAGGTCCTCATGTTAAACATGAAACCTGGCTGGTTTGGCTTGAAACCGAGCTGGCAATGCTCCTCTGCCGTTGGTGGCACAACATAATGGACATCTCACCCCTACCTCAACCCCAGACCAGGAACTGGGGGGCGAAGCTAGTTGGAGCACATTTCTAGCTATCACTGTATCTCAAATAACTAAATATAAACCACCAGTGCAGCCACCAGAAATGATCCATCAGCTCCGGAAAAGGGAATAGATGGTCATTATGTCAAGCAGGCAATTTGTCCGCCAGAAATAATTCCGGGCTAATGCCATCCTGTGGCTAACAAAGAGGACACGTTTGAACCAACAGATGGCTTATTTTTAGCCCAAATCGGTTTGCAAACTGTTCACAGCTCAGGCACACAGACAGACATAGTAAGTAGCTGGTGTGGTGGTAAAGAAGAGCAACATGATGGTGGGGCTGCAAAAGATGCGCTCGCCAAACCCCAGCTTTAGCTTGAGAGGACAAGATTTCCTGAATTTAAGAGCAGATGAGTATATGTGAAGACAGTAGGTGCCTGTTTGCAATTTGCAGGTATGCATTTGGTTATTCTGCTTATGAAGGCAAGTGAAAAATCTGCTGGAGTATCAGGACACATTTTGAAAAGAACCGCAAGCTCTGCCCTTTCACAACATGCGCCTTGCCATGAGATGAAGGGGTTGCCAGCTCATTCACACACAACTTCAGTCTTCATCGAAAGGAGGTCCTGTGGACCTAAAGATACTTTTTCCAAAAGAGAGTTACCAGGTATAACGCTTAGCATCACACTGTTTTCTCTGGTTTAGAGGTTGCATTTTAGTCCTGGGACTATTTTTCCACATCCCACTCATTTTGTGTGGTTCCCTGAACAGGCTTTATTCTTGAGAACTCACGAAGAAAACAACACTTAAAAGCTGTAGCTGCACGACCCAAAACAATTACAAAGGCCAGGGATTCCTACAAAATCAGGCTGACCAGAGCATATTCAGTCCCTCAGCGCTGGGAACCATTGCGCTTACTCCCTCATCGCTCTGGGGCAGGCTTGGTAAAACACCAGCTGCCTTTCAGAAAGCGGAATATCGCGCTCTCCTGGTC